ACAAATAAAGATTGACCCCAAAGCAATTGATTGTATATTTATTGCATACACCGATAATAGTAGTGCATATTGTTTTATTTTACACAAATCTGAAATTCAAGATGTACACAAGAGCAACATTATTAAATCAAGGAATGCGATATTCTTTGAGAATGTGTTTCCTAGTAAAGATAAGTTAAATGTGAATTCAAATAAACGAACTTATGATATTACAAATGGATCTTCAAATGAGGAAGAACTAAAATGTAGTAAGAAGGCTAGAATGTCCACAACATTTGATCTAAATTTTATAACATACATGATAGAAAATGACCCAGCGACTTTCGAGGAAGCCATGTCTACCTCGGAAGCACCATATTGGAAGGAAACTATCAACAGCGAGATAGATTCCATAATACAAAATCATACATGGGAGTTGATTGATTTACCTCCTGAAAGCAAGCCTTTAGGGTGCAAATCTTCAAGAAGAAATTGAAACCTAATGGATCAATTGACAAATATAAGGCTAGGTTGGTTACCAAAGGTTATAGGTAGAAAGAAGGACTAGGCTTTTTTTATACATATTTACCCGTAACTGGAATCACTTTGATAAGGTTGCTAATTGAAATTGCCGCAACACATAACCTTGAAATTCATCAAATGGACGTAAAAACAGTATTCCTAAATGGTGAGTTAGAAGAAGAGATTTACATATACCAACTTGAAGAGTTCGTGTCTCCAAATCAAAGTCATAAAATTTGTAAACTTGGTAAGTCCTTATATGGATTGAAACAAGCTCCTAAGTAATGACACCAAAAGTTTGACAAAACAATATTGTCAAATAGATTAAAAATAAATGAATGTGATAAGTGTGTATACGTGAAAAATACACCAAATGCCTATGTAATAGTATGTCTATATGTAGACGGTATGTTGATAATGGGCAATGGTCACGATATGTTGTTAAAGACCAAGAAAATGCTAACGAAGTATGTTGATATGAAAGATATGGGTGTGGCGGATGAAATACTAGGGATAAAGATTTCTAGAACATCGGAAGGAATTGTACTTTCTTTATCTCATTATATTGAGAAAATACTTAAAAAGTTTGATGTGTTAGAGGAAAATTAGGCGAAAATCCCAATCGACACAAGTTTACTCTTAGTAAAAATTATGGGTGAGAGCGTGTCACAACTAAAGTATTCACATGTGATAAGCAATCTAATTTATATTACAAACTGCATCGACCGGATCCTGTGTTTGCTATAAATAAACTTAGTAGATTCACAAGTAATCCAAACCATGATCATTTGAAGGCTTTGATAAGCATTCTTAGGTATTTAAATTATACCATAACCTATGGATTACACTTCACTAAATATCATGTGATATTATGATACGAATTGGATATCCGACATGAAGGATTTCAAGTCCACTAGCGTTTATGTGTTTACCCTTGGTAGAGTTGCTATCTCATGGAAATCGACAAAGCAAACATGTATAACTCAATCAACAATAGAATCTGAGTTCATTGCTTTGGATAAAGCTGGAGAAGAAGTAGAATGGTTTCAAAATTTCTTGGAAGACGTTCCATGTTGGCCTAAGGGCGGTGCCTGCTATAATTATACATTGTGATAGTCAATCGGCTATTGAAAGGACTAGAAGTAGCATGTATAATGATAAGTCTAGATATATACGACGTAGACATAACACCATCAAGCAATTAATCTCAAATGTCATCATCTCCATAGATTATGTGAAATTAAAGGAGAACATTACAGATTCATTTAAAAAAGATTTGCGTAGAGATCAAGTACGTTGCTTATCGAGAAGAATGGGAGTAAAGCCTACTATGTAAGAGTTCATGTAATGGTAACCTTACCTTGTTGATTGGAGATCCTAAGATCTTGGTTCAAATGGAAGTTATGAAGATTCTATGAAGCATTTAGGAAAGTAAATTCTTAACTCATTCCTATGATACTAAAGTGCTTTCTGTAGAGTTAATAGAGGTTAATATCATTAATGATTCCTATATCTTGATTAAGTCAAGTGAAGTAAGGCAGAAAACACTTAATAAGAGATTGTCTATGTAAGTGTGAAGAGGGGCCGTTTTAATGAGAATTATTCAATGTTTGAATTCTTTAAACACTTACGGAACCAAGATGGGTTTAAGGCCAAAATGAATCAAGTCATAAGAACTATGAATGGAATTATGAAAACATCCGTGTGAGTATTGTTGTCTTGGCTTACACTAACGACTGATTGGTTTAGGACATCATGTTCACCAATTAGCCAAATAAGTTCGATAATATTTTATTAAGGAAGATTCAAAGCTAAAAGCTACCTTGCTTGATGTAGTGTTTTTCCACCCTCTCTCTACAATTGCATCATATTTTCGCATCGCATTGCATATGCATGTTCATATTTCCATTCATGGGGGTAATTGTTGGAAATTGGTTTCAAACTAAAATTAATAGAAATTGGTCAAGTTAAAAAAAAAAAAAAAAAAGGTGACTAACTTGTCAATTTCGACCGAATATTTGAACTCGATCCGATGGTCAAATTACAAAAGTAAATAGACCAACTTGTTCTATTCGTCGAGTAGATTGTCGTAGTATATTTGGAATCTCAAAATCAATTTCAGATGAATGAGTAATTGCGGTCCAATGTTGAAAGAAAAATAGAGGAAACTGGCTAGATGACACCGTTGCTCGAGCAATGGTTCAACGAGAATCAAGCAAAAAGTTTCCGTTCGAATTTTGACAGTATTGCTCGAGCGAAAAATCTAGCAAAAAGCTAGCGAAAATGAAGTGTTGCTTCTATTCGAAAGAATGTACGATTTAGCCCACACCACTTCATCCACACCCCTTCTTCCTCTACAAATAGGACTCCTTGGACGTCTTCAAGGACACACCATCTCATATTTGTATTGAGCATTCATAAAACTCTTGCAAAATCTCTTTCTCCTTATTTCGTATCATTCCTTGTAGAAAAGAAATTCTGTCAAAAATTCGTAGCATTCGTGTTTTGAAATGTTGCTACCATAAGATTGAATCTGTTGTATCTTGGGAGACAAATGTAGTTAATCGTAAGCACCATAGCAGGGCAATATTGTCTTAAAGAAGGAGTGTAATGCAACTGCCTCTGATTCTTCTTCTTCTTCACATATCTTGTTTTATTTCTGGGTTTTGAATAGTTATTAGACTACATTTTGTATACTATAAATTTGTAATTTAATTACGCTCCTACGCGTTAAATCTTATCCTTGTTTATTATATACAAACAACATTTTCACTGCTTATGTAAAAGCCCAGCAACAACAATTTTTTTTTTTTTTCCAATGAATATTTATTGATTTCTACTTTTTTATTTTTCATATTTTTATATGTAATATCTAATTAATTCAATCATGATTTGAATAAGGGGAGATCCACTTGGTTGTTCAACAAATC